TTACGTATAGACGACACACTACTTCTACTATAGTCGTGTAGAAGAAGTAGTAGGTAGTAGTTAGTAGGACGGACAGTGTCTTATTCTCTCTCTCTACTACTACTACTACTCTCTCTCTCTCTCTCTCTCTCTCTCTCTCTCTATTTGGGGAGACAGCCCCACCATCCTCCAGTCATGTGTAATGCCCACCAACAACCAGACCCAAAATTTATACCCTCTCTCCACTTCTCCTCCCTCCAAAACTTGCCTCTTTTTTTTTTACAATGAAGAACCTCACTGAAACGGTATTTATCATGCTTTAAATTTCACCATTGTTATCCTGCACTTTATCTATAGCTTTTCAATCCCGATTCCCAACGGTCTTCTTTTCAACCCCACCATTCAAAACTGCTCATCATCGGTTCAGCAGAAGGGGGATTTCCCCTTCCTCTTCTTCCCAGGGCCTAGTTTTTTACCAGACAGTCTCATCATTGTGGTTAGTAAATACTCAGTACCTCTTTTTCCTTAACTCTACTATGTACTACCGTGGAAATTCTCTCTCTCTCGTTCTCTCTCTACATTCACACATACACAGGAATAGACATTCTTTGAGTTCCCTGCCTATAGAATTAGCGTAAGGGCCCAGATTGAACCACAACAACCCATGTGGGAAGCCCATAAAATGCACGTATTGTCACGAAGCCCCGCAATTCAACCAACCGTGTGGCACTCGTTCCTTGGTCTGTTAGCAAACTCTTTGGGGTGTGACAATATACAATATACATACACATGGAAATACATGTGACTATAGATTATGTATATCCACCGCCCCCGACCTATGGAATAGTATAGAGCCCAAATCGAACGCCCTTGACTGATCAGACCAGCCGATAAAAACTACATCCATCACACATGTACATGCGCCTACGTGAAAAAACATTTAGCTTAGCGTCTAAGCTACCACTCTACAATTTCGACTAACCTACTTTTTTGGGGTTATTGTTTGCTCATCTCTCTCTCTCTCTCTCTATCTCTATCTATGTTTCTCTTTGCACTAGCTTGTTGGGTCCCCTATGTTAACCTACCATATCTATGTCTCTGTCTGCACTAGCTTGTTGGTCCCCTAAGTTAACCCCTTAAATATGGAGTTTAAAGCTCAAAAAATCTGCACTCGTTCCACTACCAGATTTCCTGGAAAATTCACCTCCATAACCCTTAAATATGGAGTTTAAAGCTCAAAAAATCATGCAAATCAAGCACATATATAAGCACTTGAAAATTGTAAAAATTGATGATAAAAGATGCACTATTTTCAAAACTAGAAATCATTTTTGTTTTTATGTTTATACCTTCGATATCGAGATGATGGGAGGATTTTCATTGAATTTTTTTTTTTTGACAAGTTAATGAGGTGCACCTCACTTCTACAATATAAAGTTCGCACCATTTATGAATGTTTTCCACATATAAAACGTAATACATATATATACATATAGGGCAATGATTTCATGCAACGGTTACATCATAATATAATGCAATCACATTAAAAAACCATGTTAGAGACATTTGTTTGACACAATATTTTAAATATATACTCTTTTCATTCTAAAGAATAATCACAATTTTTTTTTTTTGAAAAAATACCCTAGAAAGTGTTTTTCTAGCCCAATTAATATAAGCCGTCTAATTTAGTGAGATGGTTAGATATAGGCCTCAGAAAGATTTTTTTTATGTTCAAAATTTTCATATAGTGTTATCATCATTAGATTAACAATGCTAAAAAGAAAAAAGTGATTTTGAATTTGTCAAAGCCTAGATCTTGGAATTCATCAAATGGACGGTCGAGATTCATTGTTGGAGGGTACTAATTTTGACCATATCAAAGGTGTAAATTAATTTGGAGCCATACAAATGCCGAAAACATGGTTTTCTAGAAGCGTGGTTGCATTATACTATGAAACAACTGTTGCATGAAAT